TTGATGTTGCCAAGACAGAAGAAAGCCTGCAGATGGAATTATTAGAAATGCAGTCGGATTCTACACTCAGAGCAAAGTATCTTGAAGTAGGAATACATGGGTTCTTTTTATACCTTCCTGAAAAATTTAAAAGCTTCAGGAAGTTTGCCACAAATATTATGGCAATGTTTGGCTATATCTATGTGTGTGAATAGTTATTTTCCTTCTTGAAACTCCAACAAAAACTTCTCAGAGAACAAGTCTAACTGATCAATATTTGAAATCTCTAATCAACATCTGAAATTCACACATATACTAAAAATTGTCAACAAAAAGAAGTGTCAAGCCTCAGGACAAAAAACTAAAACTGACTGAATGCTAGAATCACTGCCCAAACTGATGACATATAAATGTTCCATTTTGAATTGTTGTCATTTTTGTACAATGTGTTTGTTGCTGTTGTAAACTGCAAGTATATGTTGTTTAAAATTTTATTTTTTTATCAAACTACTTCATTACTTTGTATACATGAATCCTGCTAAAACATTTCTTTGAACATTGTGTTTTTAATTCTGCAATAGATTTTATTAAATCACTCCAATTAGTTGTAATGTGCACAATTGGTTGCCATGTGTGGTCCTCTTGACAACATATATGTGACCATCAAGGGATTGACATGCCTGATCTAAAATATTCAGGATTTGTTTTCATTCATTAATTTCTAAAGAATATTTATTTTCACCTCTTCTGGTTGGGGGGGGGGGGCTTTTTTTTCTTAAATTTAAATGAACAAAATAAATTCACAAACTGAAAGAGATATATGAAAATTCTAACTGTAAATGGATCTAACGTACGTCCTCAAGGACACATGGCACAGTGGATAAAGGCGTTAGTTAGATCCAGTGACAAGACCCAAAGAGTGTGTTCAATACCTGGCTAAGGCAGTGGAGAACTTTCAGAGGGAAATTAACAGGAGATAACCGATAACTGACATCCATTAAACATGGCACATGGAACTAGAACAGTCTACACGGTTCAGTTCGACATTCCAACCACCTGAAGAAGGCCGGTGCGTACAACGGCTAAAATGTAATAAATATAGTGACAAAATAGTCCGAATAATGTAAATAATGTTATAAATTGGTGTCTTTAAGGTGAGGCACTGACACAAAATTGTAGAACAAAAAAAAAAAAAAAAAATTATTTAGTAGTCAATAAGTAGTTTTAAAATTAATTTGAGCTCCATCCCACCTCAAGAACTGATGACTTTGATAGAATTTATTTCCTGTTTTAAAAATAATCATTAAGATATTTATGTCAGTGCCTCCAGATTTTTATAAACATATGATAAAATTATAGTTTTAAGGTAGTGCAAATTCCCTTGGGAAAGGTATGAATCTTCTTCTCCCCCCCAGCTATGGATAAATAGCAGGAGAGACCAGGATCTATAGCCTTGGATGGCAACTGACCTACTGCAGAAAGAAATGACAACCTATGGTGGGGAAAAAATCTGCCTCATCAGTCATGTATCGAAAGATACATGATTGCCTAAGCGTGTATCCCGCATGGCACATAACTGATATTTATAGGGAAAAGTGCTCAATATCAGGGATAGAGAGTATGTAAATATGAAATTGGACACTAGGGTCAATGCTGAACAGCGATAGTCTGTTTGATGCTTGAAGACATGACCCGAAGACAGCGGTGAAACATGAAACACAGTCAATCACTGTGTTGACATCAGTGTTCGTATACATACAGACGTGTTATGTAGAGCAAATAAACATAGATCAATTTCTTTCCCTGAGATCAGCAACCATCTTGTGTTCAGAGAACTGTATTAGTCCTGCTGCCTTGTGGGTATTCTTAAAAAGGAAATGGCTAAGAGATCAAATCCTGACAAAAACCATAGCTTGGCTTCATAATATAGTTCAGTGCATTGTGAAGCCCTGTTCTGGCAACTCCTGTAGTCAAACCGATACCAAACATATCGGCTCTTCATTCTTTTGGATACCAAGAAAGGGGTCCCTGTTGCTGGGGTAACAGCTTCTCCATATGCCTCATCCAGGCTTCTTGTGCACTAGCGTCACTGTTTATTAGAAGCAAAACGTGGAAGGCTAGCAGTCACTGGTTATAAGCTCTTTTCAGAGAATGGACAGCAGAACAATTCCAGACATTCTTTATACAGAACTTTCAAATAGAAAAAGAAAAATTGTTTTTTAAGGATTGATTTAAGGAGGTTTGCAAACAAGACCTCATCTTGTTTAATATCAACCTTGTCACTTGGGAAAAAACACTGCCTTCAATGACAGCAATCAATTCAAAGTTGGTCCTTAACAGATGAGAAAGAACAAAGAAGGACAGAAGCTGATACATCGGAACATCTGTGGCTGTGTCTACTGATCAGGCATTGAATTTTGGCAATCATGAGACAATAGCAGAAGTGATGTTTGAGTATAGAAAAGCAATGGTCTTCCAATGCTGTGATGCCACCATTGTGGTTGATGACCCCTTCAAGATTTTCTGTAATGTTAAAATCGCAGCATTGCCTGCTTAACATAAACCGCCTACCAAAGGAAATTTTCATTATTTACAAACTATAAAATACTGCTGGCTATTGTACTATTGGAATTTGTCGGTTGGATTATGGTTAGAGACGATTTACCTCCCTTATACTTAAAAGATTGATAAGATTTTAATTACTGCAACCTCATTTTAGGCTAAAAGTTCAATTCTTTAAAAAAAAAAAAAAAAACATATTATATATTTTAAAGCGAATTTTAATTTAATTCTTTGCAACTTGAAATACAATTTCCGTAAAGAATCGGAATTTATTTCCCGTAAAAGTTATTTTTCTTAAATCGTATTTATCTCCCTTAAGACAATTTAAAAAAAAAAAAAAAAAAATTATTTCCCTTGAATTATCTTTGTTTCAGGTTTAACAGAAGCAAAGAATTCCCATGCATAACATCGCTTGAAGTTCGATACCATTTTTCAGTTTACTCCGATGTAAGCCTGAATTTTATTCATTTCTTTTGCTTTATAATTATTCAAAATTTAAAGTGATAAAAAAAAAAAAAAAAAAATATATCTTTCTCAAATCAAATGTTAAAGTAATCCATTATCAAAGCCTCGACCAATATTAGTCAAAAAAAAAAAAAAAAGTTCCTCAATTGAGATAAATTCTCAAATTCATCACAATTCCTCTTTACGTTGCTTTGTGTTTTATTTTTCTCCAAGACATAACAGTCTACTCCACTACCATTTAACCGGTAGAAACTAGATGAAAGATAGCTTCATACCTTTTCAAAGAGCAATAATGTAACATGAAACGTTTTTAGAATTTGAACCCTGAAAGCCAATTTCATATTCCATGCCAATAATCATTACATTATCCAAAAATCAACTTTTGTATAAAGTGCCAGATGTTAGAGAATTTCAGGTAAGATATAAGATTAGTTGTCAGGCAATTAAGAGTTTGGCAGATTTCTTAACTTCAAAGAAAGTCTGGTCAGTGGTGAATGTCATTAAATTCTCATGTGAAGATTTCACAGTGGATGGACATTTCCAGGATCCATGGACTTAGTTGACTATTACTGGAAATTTATACTGTAGGTGTGTGAGGGGAGGGTCACTGTTTTTTATCATTGCTTCTTGTTCTCTTACTTCAGTGGCCAGATGCCAAAAGTGGACTTTATTCTTCAAGCTAAAGAATTTACTAAAGTATTATATATTTGAATAGGTACCTCCAGATCTTTTGCTGGAAAAAAAAAAAAAAAAACAGCATAGGCTCCAAACTTAAGAAAAACAAAAGTTTGGCATCAAAACGTTTATTATAAAGAGGAAAGACCAAAGTCATTTTTTATCATTTTATTAAGTTTTTTTTTTTTTTCCTTCCTAGCATGTTCAAAATCTGGGTTATTTTTTTTTTTTTTAAAACATTTGTTCGAAAATTAGATTATGGAGAATATTTCACAACATTTTTAAGATTACAGAGTTCTTAAAAATTATGTAACAAAAAAGGTGTTCACCCATCATTTTCATAAATTATGTTTTAACTGATAAAGTCTGCATAGAACAGAAATAAAAGTGTCAACACCTTTATCAGCACTTATCAATCGGATAAGTATGTAATGTATGTAATTACTGCTACTGTTTGTTTTAAAAATCCATTTGTGTTATTTTAAACTTAAAGTAAATATTTGTTTTGAATCAGATTAATTATAGTTTAATTAAGCTAATATTCTTCAAAGTTTCAGAAAACTATATTTTATTTTTGGTAGATGTTTTGGTAAAGTTTACACCGCAATGACAGAAGACAGCACTAATCAGCTATTTTTAGAAAAAAAAAAAAAAAAAAAGTGAATCAATTCCGAGCAATATAATTTCTGTTTGAAATACACTACAGAGTGTTTTGCTCATTGGAAATAGTAAATTTAATCCTTTAGCTTTCAATTAAAGCTTTTTAAATTTAAAAATTCAATTTTAAACATTAGATATCACAAACTCGTGGAGGTACCTATATAATAAAATAAGTAAAATTACCATTATGTGCTGTTTTTCTAACAAGTTTACTACAATTGTGTTCAAGCAACCACAAATTTGTTGCTTTTCCACAATCATGGAAAGCTTGATGATGGAATCTTCCTTTATCTGCTGGCAGCTATTGAACCCCAAGTTACCAAATTAAGTTAATTTCTAATTTATATATTTGAATATAACTTAATATTTTTTTTAATGTTCTACAAATTCTGAAGTTTCAAGTCAAAGAAAGGAAAAGAAAAAAAAAGAAACAAAAGAAAATGTAGAAGTAGAAATTTTGCAATAGAGTCGGACTCAAAACACTGAACAAAAATTACTCAAGAAATGTGAAATAAAATTTGGAATTTTATTATTCAAAATAATTAAAAAGGGAGAGGGGCTGTCATCAAATGACAGAAATAATTATTTTTTTTTTTCCTTCATAGAAGGCAAATTGTTCAAATGTTGACAATTTCTTTCTACACTTCCTCACAAGACACTTAAGATTTTTTTGTGAATTTCATAATGTGAATGTCTGAACTGTGATAAAAATCATCTTGGTGGTTTTGAGGAATTTCCTGCACATTAAAAGTTGCCTCAATAAGCTGAAATAGAAAAAAATATATTGTGCAGTTTATGTTGCTACAGAACAAACAACTCAACTCATTATAGCAATGATAAAAAAAAAAAAAAAAAAAAATGTAGTCATGGAGAAAAAAAAAAAAAAAAAACTGAAAAGTGTACTGTAAATATGATGTGAAATTAAGGAGAGAAAAAAAAAAACGTTTACAACAAAGAATTAAATAGCATTTTAGGGATGTGGTTAATAGTTTGTGTGTGAATCCCGTTATATTAATGACAGATCAGCAGAAAAAAAAAAAAAAAAAACAACTCATTCCCAATGGAAACATTGATATTAATAAAGCATTTTGATATGTTTAGATTGGGTGATTGTTTTGTTTTTCTTCTTCCAGCTAACTTAATGTGATTTTATTGCATCAGATAAAACACACACAACAAAACATTTACAATAAATGTACATTGATCTCCACAAAAATATTTAGATTCAAATGGATTGACCTGTTCTCAGATATTAGGTTTAAGGCTAGCTGTATAGCTGTTGCTTTGGCACTAAAAATTAAGTCATTATTTGGCAGTTGCTTTTTATTTTTTATTTTTGTCTTTTAGAATGGCAGAGTATCCTACGATATTAAAGACTTTTGACCTATCAGTGTAGACTCATTTGCAATCAGAGTATTTTGGGAGGATATTATGAAATTCTTGCTAGAAGGTAGCGAGATCAGTGTTGGCTTTTTGGTATTTAGTAAGATTCATTAAATCATAAGCTTCTTTTGTCAGGTTTTCCATAGAGAGTTTAAAACGTCTGATGGTAGTTTCTTTCCAGGAGTAGAGGCATTTACACTGTGGGTTTGTTTAATTCATTTTTTATTTCTGTTATGGAACACAAGTATAAATCCTTGTTTTGAACCAGACTTCTAGGTGTTCAGTTGCTTATCTGGGTAAGAGTTAATGTCTATATTGTGAAGTGTTGCCACTTCTATGAAGATGGTTCAAGTTTCTGATCAGTTTGGGGATTGATCATTGAAGAGATGACACTTTTGATGATAAACAGGGGACAGTTTAGTTGGAGGAAATTCCTCTCTTGATTCTAACATGAATCTTTGGGTTTTTTTGGGGGGGGTCTGAGATTCATAAATGGAGTCTTCTTGCTTGGATTTTTTTTTCAGAAGCCATAAAAAAAAAAAAAAAAAAAAAAAATACAGGATTTATTTCATTGATTATGCTCCCCACCCACCATGGGCCCCCCCCCCCACAAGGGGATAATCCGAGAGGGAGACCTACACAGTCAATACACTTATGCTGTAGATAAACAATTATCTTGAACCTCTAGTTTTTTTTCATACCCAAGTTAACTACTCATCTAGGAACAAAAAAAAAAAAAAAAAAAAAAAAAATGGGTACAAGACATTCCTTAGCATAACTGGCCCTACAAGCACCACCCACCATTTCAAGTTTTTGCAAGAACCTGAATGAGGGCTGACGTGACCAGCCGATTGATTGGGTTGGGCCTCTCCAACTGCCTGTCTAGTCCAAGTAAGGACCAAAGCGGAGTGTTGTGGTTTGCTTGACCACCTTGGCATCCATGTCATGTGACTGCTCAGTAACCAGGATCTCTTCCTCAGGCATCACAGGTTGCCACTCCTTGGGTGACTTTCCCCTCGTGTGGAAGCTTCACAAAAAGAGGGAAAAACTGGTGATTGACTTAAGCCATTCATAGTGTCAAACAAGCCAATTTATGAATCGCAAGAGAGGTAGATGAGCTAATTTCATAGCTAGTTTCATTTCTAGAATTCAATTTCTCGTATTAAAAAAAAAAAAAAAAAAAAATAAATAAATAAATTCAATCTTTTAAGAGAATTCAAATGTGGAGGATGAAGATTTCTTATTAAATGTTCCAATGACAGTGTTCAGCTCAAAGAAAAACCCAATTCAGTCCTGGGCTTATTGATAGTTTAATTCTTAAAATTTCAAATCAAATCTAAAACCAGGCTAAAAACAAAACCAAAGCAAAAGAAACATTAAATGATGAATGTCTTGACATATAACACAATATTTATTTACATTCAGACTACTGAACTCATCTTTGTTATCACATTTTGACTATCAGATACTTGGCCTTCATCCGGTGCTTGTCATAACCTTCAGAGAATTTATAACTGAACTCTTTAATCTACAGGGGTAGATTGTTCTTGTTCTGCTACCAATGTTTAGAGATCTTGTCTAGTTCTTATTTAGTACTGCTCAGCTGTTGCTCAGCCCATTTTCACTGACTCCAAGTATACACTTCCCAGACAAGAGATTGAACTCACAATTACCATGTCACTAAATTCATACACAATGTTTGGAAAATACCCTTATGAAAATTCAATGTTTTAACCTGGACATATCACAAATGATTGCTAACAAATAAATACCTCGTAAAAATGACGTTGCAATTCTGGTTTATTTCCTGATGTTCTTTCTTCATAACTGCACAAAACTATTGTATGAGGTTCACACAAGCGGTTGATGGTGTCTACCAAGGGCTTCACAGACTGTAAGAAAATACAAGTAGAGAACTAATCTTGTGACAGACACAGGAGCTTTGAAGAGATTAGAAAAGAGAAATCTATTGAATTCTTACAAGAATGAAAATAAGTTTAATATATTCTTTTGGGGATTAATTATAACCAAACTTAAATTCTCAGATTTTCATAAAAAACAGAAAAGAAATAAGGCTACTAAGATGTGGCTTTTTGGTGGGGATATATCTTTTACCTTTAATATTTAAATAAATAAAAAAAAGTTTCATGGATGAAAATAAAAAAAATAAAGTTCCTCACTTCAGAATAATAAATGCAATCCGAGATCAAAATGTAGTCAGGCCGAGAAGTCAGAGTATCATGACTGTTCCAGTCAAGAATTTGGGCCTCAATTTTGCCTGTAATTTGTTCATGATTTTCACCGATGTTCATTTGCATCAAAGGGAGGCAACTTTCCAAATCCGTGATACAAACTTTGGCTCTGGAGAAAAAAACATGTAAAAGGTTGAAATGATAAAACCTTCAGTTAAATGATGGATTTTTACAAATAAAAACAAAAAAGGACACAAAATAGCATTTGTTTAAAGTAACTAAGAAAAAAAAAAAAAAATTGGCCACGTTCTGGATTTCAAAGTTTTCATAGTCATACATTAATTGGAAATATTGGTTTGCTTGACAAGTAGGATTGACAGTATTGTAGTAACCATATCTGAACTGGAATAAAATTAAGTTTGTGGATTCTGTATCATCTAACTTGTAATCTTTAACCTCACAAATTATTAAGAGATATTACAGCATGATTGACCATCAATATAGAATTCACATCAAGTAAAGAACAATAGAAATACTAATTTTTCATCATAAAATCTTAATTCTAAAAGCAGACAACTACCTATATATAAAATTCTGTGTCTTCTGTCAGTCTGTCACACTCTCTAAAATAGACATACATTGACCAATCAAAATCAAATTTTGGGAAGTGCAAACGGGTAAGAGAGCACAAAGTACAGTTGGTGTTACGAGAGAGCATAGCTTAGTACATTAATCTTTTGGAAAAAAATTAAATTTTATTATTTAATATACAAAACTCTCCCACTGTTTTAAAAACAATTTAATGGTTAAAATAAGTACTCATTTAATAAAAGCGCAATATTTTTTTTTTTTTGCATCTCCACTTTTATAAGAATCCAGTTTCCAGTTCACTCAGCATTTGCGAGAACAATAAAAAAAAATCACAAGGCCAAACTCTTCAAAAAGTTGGAATTTGGCTCCAGAAAGAAAGATTTATTCATGAGCAGTTGTATGTTGCATGCTCAAGAGTAAGAAATCCTAAGAATTCAATTTTCACTGTTAAAAAGGTTAAATTTTCTTGGAAAATATTGTTTCCTATCAAGGTATATTAAAGAAATTACTAAACCATGAAACAGTTTTCATCAAAGTATTTTTCCAAACAAATCAGTCTTTTCAAATTTCATTGATTAGTTTGTGAAATTGAACGAAATGTAGAGTTTATAAGTCTTGAAATATTAACGATAGCTTCAACACAAAAAAAAAAAAAAAAAAATCCAGTCAAAATAATATATATATATATATATATATATATATATATATATATATATATATATATAAACTAATTTATATTAAAAGATTAATCTGGCTCAACTTATGCTGACACGTAACCATCAATTCATTTCTCTTGTTTAATAAGCTAGGCTTATTCACGTGTGTTAAGATAATCAATTTCTTTTCAACAAGACATAAGTTACATTTATTTCCTTTGCCATTATAAGCTTTAGCTCTCGTTATAATATCCCAGTTGATTGATGATGAGATACCAGAAAAATCTGCCAAGAGCAGTAGTGTTTTTCTATTTTCTATTTCTTAAGGTCATTTGATGATGGTAAAAAAAAAAAAAAAAAAAAAATGAAATTTCCAAGGATTTACAGTGAAACCAAAAAAAAAAAATTTAACATTGTTAGCAGAATGTATGCTTGCACGGTATACAATATTATCAGTCATACATTGACCGTTTAAGGGACAGATCATATTTTTTCTACAGTTGGATTACAAGTAAGTGGACATTGAAATCAACACCCAGAGGCAAAAGTCTGTTTTAAGCTAAACACAATCATCAGGCCATGTGCATTGTGTTTTTGCTTGAATTTTTATATATACAAGACAGTGATGCATTGTGAGTAAGTCTATTATATTATTCTAACAGTTATTTTGGTGGACATGGTTTGTTAATTTGTTTATTATTTACTTAGTTTACTTACTTAAATATTTGAATTAATTTATTTTACGTGATTTTTTGTTTATTTTCATTTATTCTTGCTCAGTTTTTGATTTTTAAGTCATGTAGTAAAAATTTGTTTTCAGGTCTGCATTTTGAGAGGAATTCTAGTCATTTTTTTTTTTTTAGTTGTTTGTTTTGGTCTGGGAAGGTAATTATGGCTATTTTTCCTCCAAGTAGAGTTTACAGTTTTTGGATTGATTGTGGTAGGCTAATCTTTTCCTTATTTTCCATAACATTTCTGGTGCTATTTGTTTTTAATCTCCCAGATATGTTTAAAAAAAGCATTGTGCTGTTTGTGTATTTACTATTTGTAAATGAAGTTTTGTGAGCATTGTTTCTAAGGTCCTTCAGTTACTCCCATGTATATTTTTTCTTTGTTATCTGCTGATTTTACAGTGTCTTGTTTATTACATTGTTCTGCAAGCAATTTCTGTTTAAGGGACATTCGTCTTTTATTCTGCAGTTTCATGGGGGTTTAATTCATTCATGTGGTTTGTTGTTTTCCTATTTTTTTTTTGTTTTTTTTAATTCTTTGCGTCATGTTTTCGATGCAACTGTAGTTGATTCTTGCTGTGTTTTTGTTGAATATCTTGTGGAGAGTGCTTGATGCAGCAAAGATATATATATATATATATATATATATATATATATATATATATATACACACACACACACAGGCTGCAAAGGTCAGTCTGAAATGCACTGATATTTAAAATTAGGTTAAGAAATACACAAAATGCATTTGCTTGCTGAGCAAGAAAGTTGTAATATTTCAAGAGATTCCAGTGTTTGGTCTGAGCTAAAAGGAAACAAAATAAAAATCTAAATTGATTTTTAATCCAAATGTCCACTTTAACTTGGAATGCTGTGCTACACAATCTTTCAACGTCCATTTGATGGTACTGCGAAAGGGGGAAAAATAAAAAAGATGAAAAATTACAAACTTTTTCAGTTTGTGTAAATGTCGCTGAACGGCATCACTCAAGAATAAAAACAGATCATTGTGTTGCAGAGATCTGATTAGCAGCTTTGATACTTATTAAATTTGTCTTAAAACAGTTCCTGCCAAATAAGAGAAAAATGGAAGCGAGAAGATTGTGTTGCACCAATCATCTAAGCTGGAAAGATCAACGTGCCTTACTAAATAGTTCACGATTTTAACAACACAGGTATGTGTGGCATAATACAATTATCTCAGTCACTAAGGAGATTAAATTATATAATTTAGAGTTTGTATGCCAATTCTAAAAAAAAATTGAACTAGAGAAGATGCTGTCAAAATGGTGATTGAATGATTTTGAAAATATTTTGTAAAATACGGCAAGGGTGTGATGAGGCTAGGGAAAACACCTAACTGATTGCTCTCCAAAGAACTAAAAGGGAAACAAACAGAAGGGAAAGAAATTGAAGGTAACAAAAACAGTCTCAAAAATCACAGCACAGCAAGCAGCATGTGACTTGAATATCCAAGGGACCGACTTCAAAAGACAAAAGTCCTGGCAATTGACCACTGCTGGTTTTCCTATTGCTTTTATTGACTCAAGATAATGACAGAAACCCAGATCTAGAGAAATTGCATAGAGGCACATATCAGGATATACCAAGCTGATCTGCTAATGGGGAAAACTGGATGTAAGACATGGACACAATGCAATTCAGAGCCTCTTTTGCATCTGTAGTCACATGTTCACCACATATCTTTAGCTTTCAATAAAGAGGTTAGTGTTGTTTCAGAATCTTTATTTTTCATCAAAGCATGTTTTTACATGCTAACTCTTTATACTAGGTATCTAATATTTCACAAAAAAGAAAAAAGGCCCCTAGACTTAAAAAAAAAAAAAAAAAAAAAATTATCAAAATATTATCATTAAGAGAAAACATCAAAGTATTTTTTAATTATTTTTTAATAATTTCAAGCACACTCAATATTTTGGCTAAAAATCTTTTTTTTTTGCCATCCCACCCTTTTTACAGGTGAAACACACATTAATTTGGAAATTCTTGGAGAAAGAAAAAAAAAAAAAAAAAATCAAATTATCGGATTTTAATAAAAATCCGAGAGCTTATTTGCCAACGAATGAAATTATTTTTAGCATTTTAAGAAAATCATGGTAAAAATATATTTAAAAAAAAATTTTCATTTGTTACCACCCACTCAACTATTTAACTTTATGAAAATTCAAAAATTAATACATTAAAAACAATAACATTTCATAAAAATGAGAGATTTATTATGGTATTATTTTTAATTTTTATATTACTTCAGTTGTGAAATTTTTTCATTACCAAAAAAAATGCAAAAATTAAAAAATACCATAATTTCATATGTATGTAAAATTAATTACCTCTTTCAATTATGAAGTTTTAAATTTATTTTATCATTAGTATTTTAAATTTTATTTTTCTAGAAATCATCTTCAAAACAAGCCACAACAGTTAAGACATGCTTCTCTTATTTTCGACTAAATTTTTTCTGCTTAAAAAAAAAAAAAAAAAAAAAAAAAAAAAGAGACCCCAAAACTTAAAAACAAAGTTTTATCCTCAAATTGTTTATGTTACTATTAAGAATAAAGACCAAAGTCATTTTTTTTTTAATCATTTTTATAAAATTTTTAAACCTAATATGTTCAAAATTTTGGTAAAAATATCCTGCTTTTCTACATCCATGACGCAAATATTTTTTTTTACAATTGTTATAATTCATAATTTGAAAATCTCCCACACTGTATTTCTTTTAGGTGATATTATAATTAAGTAAAAACTATATTTACAAATCAAAAATTGAAAATTAAGTCATTTTGCACTAATATTTTTAAAATAATTGATTTTTTTCTTTTTTACTTTAAGCATTTCCATTTTTCATCTATGGTAGTCTATACATAACATTAGTGTGAAAAGGTCATATGTTCTAAGAGTTGTCCTCTCTTTACAGAGAAATTTGCGTGTCTCAATTATTCATTGCTTACATTTCAACAGATTTGAACATAATCCCTTCAGTTTTAAAACTTTAGAATTTAAAGTAAGTTTACATTTTTTTAATTTCTATTCCACAAAATACTTTTATGTATTTATTTTAGTGTGGTCATAAATTATTGAATTACGTCTATCATGGCATTTCATCTCGGTATTTTAAATTTTATTATTTCATAAAGCATCTTCAAACGGCAAACCTAACTAAAAGTCAATAAAATTAATAATTGCTGAAAATATGTGAATTTGTTAAAAAAAAAAAAAAAAAAAAGCGTTCACTTAGATTTCGTAAATTTAATCCAATTCTGCTCATCCATACTGTCAACACCTTATCGATCGGATAACGTCAACAAAGACAGGAGAGAAAAAAAAACAGACCCATCGTTAAGAAATGCTTGTATACCATTTTCTTATGCTATAAGAAAGTAATATTTGTTTCAAATCAGATTTAATTTAACTTTGCTAATTTTACTTAAATAATGTGTCAGAAATATATATTTTATTTTTGGAAGATTTTTTAAATTGATAATTTTATTTTAAAACTTGTTAAAAATGTAAGAAATGGCCGCCAGTAAACAGATTTTTTGAAATCGAGCAAATATTTGACATTTATAATAAATAATAATTTCTGTTTGAGAATATTTCACCTAAAATAGTTAACTTAATCCTTTAGCTATAATTTAACTAAAGTTAAAAAGAAATGTTCAAGAATTCGTTTTTATTTTTAAAAATTATTTTCAACCTTAGGTATCGAAAATTTATAATGGAGGTACTTTAACTTTAACAGTTTTATTCCAGGTTCTGATTTTGTTAAAAAGGAGAGGGGGGGGAGAATAAAAATTCGTCCAGTTCAGGAGCAATGTTACATTGTCTTACCTTAAAGATTTAAGGCATCTTATGTTGTAGCATTCATAATGTTTTTTCACACCACATATTGAACTCGTTACCTAACATTGCTTTACCTAGCCTCAAAAAGTGACGAATAAGAATTTTAAATAAAACTAAATAAAAAAGGTATGATTACTCCATTTGAGAGAAAATAAGTTATTGCATTTCAGACACAAGATTTTCCATATCCGAAGGAAGTACGTTTGATCATTATCCACAATTCTCATTTACAAACTTGTGACGAGTTAAATTTGCTTTTTTGTTTTATTTATGAGAAAAAGGTTCTCAGAATATGAGGCCTTGTCAAGGGAGGTAATTCAGTATTTGGCATGTAAAATAGTTTGAAACAAGCATTGGCTATATAGCAAAACCCCCACAATTATGTTATACAAAACAAAATGTTATTTTTGCATATAAATCCATTCACGAACACTTTTTAAATATATTTTCTACAAAATTTTACTTTGTAAAAAGGTTAAGGGTTAGTGAATACACCAGTGATGGTAAAAAAAATAAAAAATAATCATACCACATGACAGGTGCCTAAAAGAAAATCTGTTTCACAGTAATTTTAGTTTAAAAATAAGTAAGTTGTCTTAATAAAATAAGATTTTTAAAAAGTAGACGTCTTTACTCTTTATAGAAAATAAAAATTATTTCTGCTTAGCTTCAATGAATTATACGGTAAAGGAAGATTATGTTATCAAATGAAATATTTCGTACCAAGATGCCGTTTTTGTTTTCTTTTCACTATGGACACATTTTTCATTTTTGCCAGTCAGTTTTATAATTTTGATAACTTATATACAAAAAAAAAAAAAAACAACCCCAATTTTCTCAATGTCCTAGAAAAAAATTTTGAAAAGTGGAGGCCAAATCTTTAAGAATTGACAAAGATATTAAGCAGTAATAAGATTTTTTTGCCCCCACAAAATTCGAAATTGTTAAATTATTACTTCTTTAACGTACGACGTAGAAAAAATTTTGAAAATATAAAATATTAAAAAAAAAAAAAAATTAATTTAACAAGCAAACTGTAAAGGCAGCAAATATTTAAGACTTGAGATGTAATAATGGGCAAAAAATTTAAGATTTATTTATTTCTTATTTTGCTGAAGAAGGATATAAGATTTTAAGTACAAAAAAATAATAGCGTGTTATCAAAGTTTTCTTTTTTTTTTTTTTTATAATAGCCATTTATGCTCAATGGTTAAGAGTAAGCACGAACAAAATGTATTTTAATCGCTACAAAGAAGAAAATTCGTTTACAATTGAAAATTGAGTCTTCTTACCCAAACGTGGCAGCGACAATTCCAAGACAACCGGTGCCTGCTCCCAGTTCCAAGACTGTCTTATCTTGCAACAGCCGTCCATGAAGAAAATCGGCTGATTCGAGATATTTGGCCAACACTAAGGCGGCATCCCACACCACACAGCCAACATCCCCAATAGCTGCCTGATAAATATTCAACGTTACCCCATCATTCCGTACATACTCACGAGGGAATAATTTCTCCAGATTCACCGCCATTTTGAAACTGCTCCCCTCACCATGCTTTATTCGTGTTGATGTCACGTGACTCAGTGACTGCGTTCCATTTTTTTCTTCGCTTTCTCGATAATTTCCTTAGTTTTATCTTGGGGAAAAATTATTAAAAATATAATAAATGAAATTGAATTTATTTCTAGAAAAGTCACTGTTCAGCTAATTGGGTATTTTTGTTTTTTTAAATACAAAATTCAGTTTTTTTTGTGACAAAGCGTGGGCGTGAATTCGAACACTTAAAAAAACGCATTTTGGTAACCAGTGTTTTTAAGGCAGGCTCCTGATCCCGGTTTGAAATTCGAGTGTATGTTTCACCTCGTCAAACATGTGGCTATTACTAAGGCGAAGAATTATGAAAGGAGAATTCTACTTTCATTTACAATACCCGCATAACTCCATTTCTCTTCAGTCTTCATTAACATTTTTACTTTTAGTTAATTTGCCTTGATAACCCTCCAAGATTTTGTTCCCTCCGCTGAGGCCAGGGATTGAACTTACAACTAAGGGACAAGTCACTTTTTGGGACATGGTGAGTTTGTTCATCAAGGTACACATGGCGAAGGCACTGTCAGTAGTCAGTATAGATTAACCTTGGGCTCATCTCTAGGAAAATGTACCAGTGTGATGATCTACATCACACACATACATACATACATACTTACACAAATACAAATCATACAACGACAAGTATTCATTGAATAATAAATCAACATTACTTTGTAATAGACAATTTATAAATACCAGCAATGCGACAATTTTATAAATCGCTCTATTTTCATGTAGTCGATTTTGTGCACTTTTGGGAGAAATGGATCCCAGAAGCTTTATTGAGTCTCCCCAAAACTGGATTGGTCAATGCCAACCAAACAGATTGTCTGCACGTAAAGAACAATTCTTCCCACGCAGCGATTCGGAATCGATGATCACCTATATAAGCAAGAAATATTCTTAGATAATTAGTGAGATTTCAGCTGCCACAGAAATCCATGACAGTTGAAGCCATGCGCCAATCTTCTCACTCACACCACCACTCACATGCTGAATATTCCTTACATTCACATAAATTTTCCTTACACAGAAAAACTGTTGAAAACATTTATTACCAGAAACTATCACAAACTTTCTTTCTTTCAGTGAACTTAGGAATACAAGTAATAATTAAAGAGAGACAACTCTTGTTTTACTCAATGCATGCCTTCTTTCACATCCTTGTTTGTACATCTTGTTAAATACAAATTTTATATGTAATGATGTCTTTGGCTTATACTTTCTTCACCTCAGTTTGGTTTCCTAATCTAAGTTAAATTAATGTGGTGAAGTCCGCCACACCAGTATGCCAATAAATAACCTGAGATACTGAATTTCTGTAAACGAACAACATACTTAGAATTGGATTACATATATATTGACAGGTAATGGCTAACATATACATAGAATACTTTGAGGAAATAGCATTATCATTAGAATCAACATTGCTAAAGTCAACTCTATGGCTGAGATACAATAGATGACACCTTCATACTTTAGCTTCAGCAGGAGATGCCCAGGTACTGCTGGACCATATGAAAGTAAGACCATCGATAGAGTTCTCAATGGAGACAGAAAACGACAACAAACTAGTATCCCTAGATGTACTAACATCTCGAATAGAGCATGGGTTCAAGACATCCGTATATTGCAACCCGACATTCACTGGACAATACCTCAACTTCGACTCCCACTACCCATAGAATGTAAAGAAACAGCTCATTCTCTGCCTACAACATTGATCAAAAGTCATGTGGTGATCCAGAGACATATAAAGAAGAAATGGTCAGTATAAGCAATGCTCTACAATGTAACAACTACCCTGGCAAATAACAGCAGCTCCCACAAACTGGGACAGAAGGGTAACAGAAGATAACAATACTCAGAAAACAGCCATGGTCTGCCTACCCTATTTGAAAGGCTTATCAGAAAAGATAAAAAAGAGCTGGAGGTCTTATGACATCATTACAATCTGGTTCAACACTACAGACATCACTTCTAAGTAAGACCACTCATAGAGGAGAATATGACTAAGAACTGTGTGTATGCCATCCCATGCAGCTGTTGCAAGAAATATAAAAGAGAAAGATGCTGATCCCTGAAGATAAGACTGCAGGAACACCGTAAAGCTGTAACACGAGAGGAAATGGAAAAATCAGGCATGGTTGACCATATGTGGAGAGAAAAGGAACATGACCACCCTCTGTGGAATGAAGTTGAAATAACAGACAGAGAACATCACTGGAAAATACGAAAATTTAAGGAATCAGTATATATGCTAGGCTACAAAAGTCTTCTAAGCCAGTCAAGGATAGAAATATGAGAACCAGTAATACAGAGAGCTAGATAAAATAAGGTGAAAAAATAAAATGTGATATGAGCTCTGGTAAAAAAAAAAAGATTACTGAGACATTAGGTTTATAAGTCCCAGAAATTTCACTCACTAAAGACACATGGTTCAGTGGTTAAAAGCATTAGTTGATTGATCCAAAAAGTGACTTGACCCAAAGAGTTGTGAGTTCAATTCCTGGCAGAGAGGACAAAAGCTTGGAGTGTTACCAAAGCAAAAATTAACTAAAATTTAGAACAATCAAAATAAAAGTTTTGGTTCAAAATTCTAACAAATATCATCGGAAGAAGGCTGGAGCATAGAACAGCCGAAATGTCATGAAGGTTACAGCAAAGATTTGGAGAACAGTAAAATGTAAATAGTTTAAATAAACCTCATCTCATAAATATACACAGATTTTGAAGAAATTTTAAAACCTCTTAAAAATTCAATATTTGTTCAAGAGATTTCTTTTAAAGGAAATTAATAAATTTGAGGATTTATTAACTGAATTTCATAAAAATAAATCTTTACTTCTTGCTTAAAATATAGTAAAGTAATATTTACATACGGTAGACTGCAAACTGCCATCAAGATTATAAATCAACAACAATAGTCTTATACTGCACCCCCATTTTAAAAAAAATCGCAAAAACTGAATTAAGTACAGAGGATCAAAACTACTAGAATGTAGAAATTGGTATTGCTTATGTTTAAAAATAAATTATTTTTAACTATGTATAACCAATAATTTATAAACAATTTTTTAAAATTCTATAGGATTTTATGAAAGTAAAAAGAATATTTTTATATTATAATAGAACTATACATAAAGAAGTTAATTATAAAATTAAGTTAATTATGATTCTTGCTCACTGTAATTATTTTTGTCATTATTTTCTTACCTATTTGATGTAATAAAATATTTAATTGCACCTGATGAAGTCTTTTTTGGAATTATTTTAATCTGAAAATGTATTTAAAAAATAGAGGAAATGCTAAGAGGGGGGAAAATGATAAAGTTTCATTGAAATGATAATGTTAATTGCTTACAATCACAAGATCATTATTTCCTTTTAGAACTTCCATACAAAAAATAATCTAACAGTTGAAATTTTTTTTAAAATTCTCTTAAAAATCTGTCTAGACATCAATTTAGTCAAATTTGGTCTGTGAGTTTTAAAAATGATAAAATTAGTGTGTGAATTTTAAATTTTGGAACAGTTTCAACAGACTGAAGATTTCTACCTGATGTTTAACAATAACATTGTAACAACCCCAAGAACAAAAAGAAAAGCAAACAAAAAAAACAAAAACAAAAACAAAAAAACAGGAAAAATCCCAAAATTCTGCACAGGTTCTACTAACACTCGATTTTAACTAGTTGCAGAGTTTGGCAACAAAAGCAACATTTAGTGGGGATAAAAATAATTTGTTTAGTTAAGCAAAATTAAGATTTTAATTTTCAAAATTAATTTTATTGAAGAACAATTACCATTTTGTTTACCTAAATTTTTCCATCTTTAAAGCAACTTCATAATTCCCTTTTCCCAGAACATTTTTTGGAGTGTAGGTAGACCATCTTTAAGCCCAATTAACAATGCTTCTATTCACTTTACCAACAAATTCTTGTATTTCCTATTGTTTGTTGTAAAGTATCTGTTTTTCATCACAAGGAACATTTTCTTGACATTGAATAAATAAAAGACAAAAAAACAGTTGTAAATGTTTTTCAAAACTTGATTTGGATATTTTATTTATAAATTTGATTGTCTTTCTTCTACAATAGACTTGTTTATTCTCAAGCAAAGTTTTGAGTCAAAACTTTTGACTGAATCATTCTCTTTAATTTGGTTGACCTAACTAAAGAATGTTGTTCAGAAAAATCTCCAACATAATACATTGGCAAATCACTTTCTTGACACATTTAATCTCTCCATAAACTACACAAAACTAAATAAAAGCAATGGCAACTGTTTTTTTTTTTTTCGTGTTGGTTTGATGCCAGAGAATTGATTTGGTGTCTTTGACTTTTTTTTTTACATGATAAAATATATAATAAACAGTATATTGCAGCTACAATCTTTTCTTTTTTTTTATCCTCAGTGATGTGTCTGAATTATGGCAGATTTTGTCCCTTTTTATCATCATATCCTTAATCCAGAAAGAGAAGGGATACCAGAAATTTATTATTAAAAAAAAAAGAAGGAATAATGATTCTTTTGCAAACCTCTGCTAATTTCAGCAGCCAGTCAAAAGGAAGAAATTTCTCTTTCATAATTCTCTTTCATATAAATAAATAAACTCATGACTGTTTTTTCCTCATTTTTTACATGCCCAACACTATTCTCCGATGTTTCTTTCATAAGTTAATATAAAGTTCTTTAAATGAAAAAAATCTTATGGATACACATTTCAATTAAAAAAATTTAAATTTCATGAAATCTATCTAAAAACGTTTTTAATCATAAAGTATTACTAAAATAATAAGCAAAATCCCTTTATATATTAATAAATAAATAAAATCTCAGATATATTTGTTTTTTTCTAACTTTATATAAAAAATTTAATTTGGCTTTTTTCTGGCTATATATTTGTAATATTTCGTTTTTGATAAAATTTCAATCTGGCAACCTTGAGTAGTATCAATATTTTTTTACACATGTAAATGACAAATGTATGGAAAAGGAATAAATTTTAACAAGGCCTTGGTGATATTTTATATTTTATTTTTATATAAATGAGTGAAAGGGGAGGAAGTAATGAGTATCTATGTATTGTAAATGAAAGAAAACATTTAAAACTTAAAAGTTAGGATATGTGTGTATGTGGTGGTGGGGGGTCTGCCACTGAGGGAAAACCTATGCCCCATCCCTTGGTAAAAAGGTTCCAGTGGTGTCACTCCAGAATGCTGTGAGGAGAGAAGAATATTTACCCATCCTCCCCACTAAGGCAGGACATGACACAAAGTTGTCATTTTAACATGGGGAGCGCCATACACATATGGGCCAAGGACAAAATGATTTTGCCCACTGTCACCAATAATTACACTGACCCTTCCTCTTTTACGGCAATGTGGAAGGTGCTGCCACAAAATAGGAATCCCCCAGACTGAGCAAGTCCTCTCATCTAAAATCAGGAGAACCATTTTATACTCCACCTCCTGTTACAAGAAGCAGCTAATTCCTGCACCAGAGGAGAGGGACTCCTTGTCTTATGCTTCCCTCCTGTTTTTAAAGCTGCTTGGCAACGACTTCTGAGAACTTCTTGACAGAGCTTTGAGGAGATAACTCACACATCATAAAATGCTATCTCATCATGCCATCTAGCAATAAAAAATAAGTACATTTTTAATTACTAATTTTATAAAAATAGTTTTTGTAAAAATTTAAAAATTCCTTTGTTTAACACTCACATTACAATAATTTACAGAAAAAAACATTTTGAATTGATTAAAAAGCTAATTTAATTAGAATTTAGAAAAAATTGGTAAATTTGGTTAACAGAAAATTTGATAATTTTGACAAGTTAGGAAAATTCAGTATCTATGAAATAAAAGATGATTGAAAATTGATTTTAGGGCCATCCCCGAATGGGGATTTGGGGGCTAAGCCCTCCTCCCCTATAATTTTTAAAATTGTGCGGTCCAGGCATCCTTCCCCAATATTTTTTAAAAAGTTTTATTAACTATGGGGGTCTAGTTAAAATGCCACTACAACAATAGCAGGCCCCATCACCACCAAATATGTTCAAATAAGTAATAACTAAAAATATCATGGGTTCCAGTCCAGATAAAAATGCACTGCACAAAACCAAAGTCATACTTTCGGGGGTGGGGGAATAAGCCCCAATCCCCCCCCCCACCGACTCCAATATGTTTAAATAAATATTTTTAAATAAGTATTTATTTAATTACTATACGTTATTGTTTTCATTTAAGAAAATAAAATTGATTTATCTAAGTTAATGTTATTGTTAAGTTCTTGTATCTTTTTTTCAAATTGTTATTTTAATAAAAAGTAGTAAGTTTTTAGATAGTTATTTCTTTTTGAAGAAGCAAAAACTATATAGACTCATTTCTTTGTAATTTTTCTTGTAGAAGAACTTTATTTATTCAATATTTACAACAGCAAAACAATTAACACAACTATTATTAAATTTTGTTTAAAGAAAGTAAAAAAGAGAAGTAGCCCCTTTTTACAAAAAGAGAAATTACTATTGAGTTGGGGCGGTTAGAAGCAAGACTTTTGTTTTGAAATTTGAAAATGTTTAAATTTCAAGTTTTATTTATTTTTGAAAAGCTAAAAAAATAATAATTAATCTTTAATTGAATACACCGAGACTTGTGCTTTTAAACGCCAACATCAGTAGTGTTTTGTTTAGTTTTTGTTTTACTGTTTATGCCTAGTCTTTTTGGTTCATTCCTTGGGAAACATATGGCCGTAACAACACCTTGCCAATTATTTATTTACTGAATTTTCCGGGCACCAATTAATTACAGTGGGATTTTTATTTTTGAATAATTATTTTAAATGGTCAAGTAGAATAAAAATTATTAAATTCTTATTTTTATTGATAAATTAAAAGTTGCTTCGGTGTTTTTTTTTTAGCAGTGTTATGTACTAGAAAGTCGAATAAGATAAGAACATTCTAGTTACAAACTTCAATTTTTAAAGTATCGCTCTCTCACTCACTCAATCAATCAATTAGTTAAACAACTGATCGATATTGCTCGTTCCTGCAATGAAGCTAAATCAACTGAATGGAAAAAAAAATATCAAGCGAGATTTATTTAGATTGAAAGAATGAGAGAAGAAAGAGTTATTGCTCTTTTTATTGTATCAATGGCGGGAATTCAAAATGTTGGCGCTATGATGAGCGAAGCTGAAATTATTGACTTTGTTCCTCCCCATGATAATTATAAAAGTCTTTATATTTCTAACATTTCTCCATCACTGAATGAGGATGAAATTTATGTAAGTTATTTTCTTCATCTTGTTTTCCCCATCGAGTAGTAAACTCGCATTCCGTTTTCTTCCTCCTAGTAGTCTCCTCAACGAAATAATTTTTAATTAATTCTCGATAGTAAAATGTTAAAGAATATTGAGTTCTGAGTAATAAAACTGGAAATCAGGTATCCATTGACGCCAGAAAGAAATAATTTAATTGTTCTCGGGTCAAATTTGTTGTAAACAAAAATAAAATCAATATTTGAATCATTTTTTGTCTTTGGCTTGTCAATGTTTTTATTTAAGCTTGTCCGTTTTGTCGCCCAAAAACGCGTTGAAAAAAAAAACACATTGATTTGGAAAATCTTGCAAAAATCAAGTACTTGTTGGATTTTAATGAAACCTTCAGAACTTATTCACAAATGAATGAAATTATTTTAGAAATGTTTGTCTTTTTGAAAGTCATGGTATAAATATTTTTTTATATATGTTACATCCCTCGAACTTAATTTTATGAAAACTTCAAAAATTTATTTTTGCAACTTGAATTTTTTTTTTTATTAAATGCACAAGACTCAAAATTGGAACTTTTTCTCAATTTGTTTTTTTTTTTTAAACCGATTGAATTGAGGAAGAAAAAAGAAAATGTATTTGAAAGCACCCCAGAGAATACATAGAGTACAATACACCAAGAAATTGGTTTTAAAATGGTTGAATGGTTATCACCCCAACCAAAAAGTACTGTGCAGAAATATGTACAGCGTGGTCCGAAAGTATTGTCACCCTTGAAAAAATAATGAGGGCAATACAACAAGTAATTCCCCATGTATAATACGTATTTTTTTACTAAAAAATAACAAGCAAAATTATGGGTGTGTATTATGCGCAGCTACAAAATATCTGTAAAAATTGCCGTTTCATAAGTCGATTTCAGTTGCGAAATCACCACAAACATACAACAATTTGACACTAACATTCGGCGATTGCGACCCCCCCCCATAAAGATGTCAAACACAATCATATGTACATGTACCTAACAATACTTACAAATGTAAAATAAAATAAGAATTATCATAGAACTAAATTAGAATAATATTATTCTATGTTTAAAACCATTTTTTATAAGAGTAATGGTTGTTGTAGTAGTGAAATTGGAGAGGTACAATATGGCTTGATTACCAAACTAGGGTCGCGTATTATACGTTAGTAGAAGCATTTTCCCTCCACGCTTTCTTCACAATTTTAGGTGTGTGCATTTGGATGAAGGCGTATTATACATGGGAAATTGCGTTAATACAAAAGCACATGTATTGGATTCAGTTTATATTCACTTTCCTTGGCGAGAATGTCTGGATGAAGAACTGAACACAATCATTTTCGTGTCAGCCATCTGAAATAGAAAATCATATTACGTAGGGGGGGGGGTAACAAAACTTTCAGATCACCCTGTAATTCCAATAATGACAAAGTACGAAGATTTGTCAATAAAAATCGGACGTTTACTTTCGATTCTACAAATCAATCACTGAGCTGGTTTGCCTTCTTTGAATGTCTTTTACTACAAAATTAAATTTCTCATGGTGTCATCATTGCGTTCAGTTTTTTAGTGTTTCAAATGGTCTTTAAATGTTCAGTTAAAGTAAACACTCCAAAAAATATTCTTGGAAAAGAGAATTATGAAGTTGCTTCAAAGATATTCTCCTTTACGATATTTTTCATTTTCATTGACGTGCGATAAAAAAAATTATGTTATGTTATTGTTCACCGTGCCATAAAAATAGTATTTTTCCCCTTACTCTTTCAATACTGTCTTACACAATTCCCCCTCTTAGGCCTTGTGCCATAATTGTATTTTATATACAATAAATCTTGGACTTGCACAATCGACTACATTTACATTTTTGTGTTTTCACTTTTGTTTGTTTCTTGTATTACTTGGTGATCCTGAATTCCTGACACACACACACACACACACACACACACACAAAAAGCAAAGAAAAACAAACAAAAAAACAACAGTCGGTTGGTTGCCAAGAATCATTCTGACTCAATCCATTCATAATGAAAGTATTGTGTGGGCCAGTTTTTCTTTCTCCTTGACTGGTTGCCAACCGCAGATAGAGAGTCCAGTTTACCCTACTACGTCTCCTTAGCTAGGGAGAGAAGCGATGGTTTCATCATTCACCATACCTTTCCCAAGAATAATTCTGGGGAAAAGGAATTTAATTTAACGAAATCGATTTTTTGTTCCATTACACTACCTGCATATACATATGAAGACACAAGAAAAAATAATATGGGATTAATTAATTAATTCCTTGTCATTCCATTCTTAAAAAAGCATTTAAACTTCAATTTCAATAATTTTTCCCAAAAACTGATTTTCATGGAAGATTTATTAATATTTCTTAAACAATGAAAAAATTTGAATAGTCACCAGTTCTCTCCCTTGACAAGAAAACTCTGATTCCACTTTACTGTGTAATTAAAGTTTAGTCTGGTGCCACCTACCTCTAATAAAAGCAGTTATGTAAATAGCTGTGGCCTAGTTAAACTTTTCAATAGTAACAGTTCAAATTATCTTCCCACAATTTTATTTTTTGTACTATTATTTTGATTTTTGTTGTTTTAAACAGTATTAATTAAGTTGATATACAGGCTATGAATTATCGCTATCACCTTGGTATTAACTAATCGAACATTAGGAAGTTTTTCTTTTTAATTAGTTGACAGTAAAAATGAGAACAGTTATCTAAAATATAGGAATTGATACAGATATATAATCTTAGAAAACAATTAGAAACTTGTGTAATTAGATATTTGTATAAAAGTCAATATTTTCAACAATGTTTTTAAATAATCAGCATTAGTTTGAGTATGATATTTTAGAGTTTGAAGAAAAATGATGTCATTAGTAGAAATTTAGTCAGTTGAAAAAAACTCATTTGTGTCATGGTCACTGGTTGTTGATCACATGGATACTACTTTTGAAATTGGTTTGGTTTGTTTTGTTTTACAGCACATCTTACCTCAATGGGTCATTTAATGCTGACAACTTTTTTTTTTTTTCCTGTTAATATTTTTGTTTTGTCAAAAATCTATTTCTGCTAATATTTTTTTCCTCAAAAATGTATAGCTGGTAATATTTTTTCAAAAATGTACAGCTGGCAACATTATATTTTCAAAAATGTATTATCAGAGGCCTTGCTGTTGGACATAGTTCATCGTCCCACCCAGGACGGGGATATAGTTTATTGTTATACCCAGGATGTGTTTTAAGATTGTATAAATCAAAGTAAAAAGAGCAACTCGTCAAAAAAAATATTAGTTCACCTCATACTTGACATGCCTTTGATCAACATAAACAGCTTGAAATAAATATACATCTCATATGTTATTGCTAGATATATATTATTTATATTATTCAAACTGTTATCCTGATCTTCATTGCCATATTCACAATGTTTCAGCCATTGTACGCTCCCGCCTTCTTCAGGTGATTGGAATTTCGAACCGATCCGTTTATTTCATCCACCGGGATAGATTGTTTTAGTTCCACGTGTCATGCCTTCTCCGGATGTCTCAGTTTTTTCCCTTTAACTGAACTCTGCAAGTTTTTTGGTTTACCACTGCTGTGGCTTGGGATTGAACTCACAACTCTTTGGGTCTAGTCACTGGACTTAACCAACGTCTTTAGCTAATCACCTAAAGAAAGTCAGAGTGTACGATGACTGAAACGTTGTGAATATGGCAATGAAGATCAGGATAACAGTTTGAATAATATAAATAATCATAACACCTCATCTCAGAGATATAGACAAATATTGTTTGCAAACTTGGCAGAAGATTGTCATGCATTCTGTGTTTCTTCATAATTTCTTGGTTGGAATTTTTTCACTCTTTTGTTGTGTCGAATTATTCCATTTTTGTAAAATGTCTGTAAATTTACTTCATTTTGGTTGCTGTTTGAAAGTTCTTAGAAGTAACGTTTCTTTTGTTTTTTTTTTTTTTATTTGTTGAGAGTATTAGCTTTTTCAATTATTAATTTGACCTTTTAGTAAAAGTTAATTCTTGTAAAAATCTCTTTCCCAAAGAAGAATCTGTGTGTTCACATGCAACCAGGAGCATTTTTTTTGTTTACAGCCATATCAAATAATTTTTACATAGATTTTGAACATTTTAAAGTGTTACTATATTTGCAACAAGTGAGTAAAATTTTAAATTAAACGTTTATTTTTCGGAAATTATTTTTGCACTTCCATATCAAACAATGTCTTATTTCGAATTTAGTCAAATTGTATGTGCACATGTGCTTATATGTGTCTTAAATGGCACAAGCATATTAAGTCACTTACACCCAACACAGGCATAGACATTTACATATACACATGCAAAGTCATGTACAGACAGTGTCATAGACAGCAAATCAAATCTGCTTTTATTATATAGATTTTATGTAAAAACAAAAAAAAAAAAAAAGAAATAATAATGATGAATTGTACTTTGCTTCAATTGCTTACACATTTGGTAATATAAAGAAAATCTGTTTGAAAAAGACAGACACAAATAACTGTTAAAAGCTGAAAACAATCTACAATCAGCACGGACATTAAGAGTTATTTCCCCTAACATGAGTGACTCTTTATAAACTGATCTGCTTTGGCATAAAATCTCTTAAAGCTGATTTCTTTCTTTCAGAATATTCTATACAAAAAATTCTCTGAATTTGGTCTCATCTATGGAATCCGTATATTCCCTGTGATGAAAGCCGGTCTTCTGTCATCATCTTTGTTGTCTTTACACCAAATTGAATCATCATCAAATACTGGAGAAACATTTGAAAAAACTGCCAAACTCCCTGAAGATTCCGAGAACAATTCTGGAACCAGATGTGTTCAGACTGTTTCTTGTTATTACGCTTTTGTTAACTTTTACTCTCGCTTAGCATGTCAAAAAGCTCGAAGGGAACTCTCAGGAAATTTCTTCATCAACGGGCAGCCATCTAAGGTAGGTTGATGTTTTTAAAAGATTTTATGGAAATATTTTTCAAACTCACTTTATTTAATTTATAATGAAATATCATCTACATTTAAATAATATTTGCTTTTCTATAAAGATAAAAACCTGGAGAAATTAAATTAGTTGATTAAATCTTAATTCCAACTTTACTTGGAGAGGTAGAATGAATATATATATATATATATATATATATAAAATTGAACATTGAAGTCAACACTCAGAGGCGACAGGATGTTTCATTCTAGGTGCAATCGTCAGGCCTGACAGTTGCACCTTGCATGAAAATTGTGAGTCGCCTCTGAGTGTTGACTTCAATGTTCACTTTTATATTTATATTTACATATGCTTTATCTCTGATATTGAGCACATTATTCCATAAATATGGCACACCTTAAAACTATATTTCTTCATATATATATATATATATATATATATGCATAAACACACAGTTATTAAATAAGCTGAAAAGCTTAAAGTAGTAAAAGAAACAGTGTTCAAGGTCACTGAATAGAGATTTAATATAACAATAAAATATTGCTTTAAAATGTGTAATGTGCTTTAACACTTCACAAATCTTGAGTTTCAGGCTCTTGCAATCTTCAGGCAGTGAAATTCCCACCGTTTTAAATTGTAGACGCATGAGTTGTGGAGAGTTACACATTTTAAACCGATATTTTACTGTTATATATATATATATATATATATATATATTTCATATTCAACACAAAACAAAAGGATAATAAAATATTTAAAAATAGAATAGGGGACCATTTTAACAGACCCAATGAATCAAAATATATTCTACCAAGCAATCGTATTACAACTACAATAGAAAATAGTTTAACATAGAATTTGGTTGCAACTCCTTTAAAAACATTAAAAGATTAATACAAAACAAAATAATTGTAAGAAGCTAAAACTTGAAGGAGAAATTTACTTAATTACTTGTAATAATTGCTACAAGGAATACATTCGAGACACCTCGAGGAATTTCATTAAAAGATTAAATGAACCCTAAAAGAATCTTTTACAAAGCAATACATTAATTATATTAGTTGCTCACCATAAATGAGTCTGATCACAATTTTGTTTTAAAAAAAATGTTACCCTAATTAAAAGTGGAAACAATTTACTAAGATGATAATTTTTAGAAAGTGTTTTAATTGCTAGATCATTCACACTATATTTGTGCCCAGTGTTTCAGCTTGACAAATTTTTTATTATCACAATGTGGGATTCTTAATAACAAAACTGATAAATAAAATATAAACAATAAACTAAATGAAACTGGCTATGCTATATGTGCAAACTCATCAAAAAAAAAAAAAATATTTAAAAGTTAATAATTTCAGTGTGCACTTGCATAAACATCACCTTAGCCTAATAAAATCCCAAAGAATGAAACACGTTATACAAAAATTTTTGCCACTTTGTCATTGATTTTTCTAACATTGTTCTGGTATATAAAATTATATATATCATTTTCCGACCCCACCATATATATATATATATATATATATATACACATACACATTTCCCAGAGTAATTCTGAAGATAAGACAAATTGGTTTCAAAAATGACAATTGAAAATAATTCTTAGTTCTTGTTGATGCATTTCGTCTTCTGACTTTATCAAGGCAAGCAATGAAAGTGAATTGTTTTGTAGACATAGATCAAATTGATTGCCTTGATGAAGTTGGAAAATGAAATGTATTAACAAAAACTAAGAATTTTTTCCAATTGTCATTTTTTTTAAACCAATTTGTCTTCAGAAATATTCTGGAAAATTTAACTACATTGTCAACATGGAAAACAAAAAACAAACACTTAGTAAAAAGGAAGTTACCAATATCCAGAAAGAGTCTTAAGCATCTCTTTCAATAAGAGACATAAGACTTTGCTTGTCTATGCCTAGCTGGCTAAGCATAGACAAGCATCTCTTTTTTTAAATTTTGGATTTGATGTAACTATGGCTACAAAACATTTTGCTTCATTGCTTGCCTTGATGAAATCGGAAGATGAAACACATTGGCAAGAACTAAGAATTTTTCCCAATTGTCATTCTTTAAACATATACACGCACACACACACACACACACTATTTACATTGTTTGGACTGTTGTCCTCATCTTTATTACCATCTTCATGATGTTTTAGTCGTATGTTCCAGCCTTCTTCAGGTGATATATGTTGTAATTTCATAACAAACCCTTTATTTAGTTCACAGGGTTAGATTTTCATAATTCTACATGCCATGCCTTTTTTGTGGGATGAAGTTGAAATAATAGAGAACATGACCGGAAAATATGAAAACTTAAAGAATTGCCACATGTGCTAGGCCACAAAAATCTTCGAAGCCAGCTAAGCATAGACAAGAATACAATATGAGAATCATTGAATAGAGGGCAAGAGAAAAACAACAGTAATGAAAAATTGTAATATAAGCTCTGGTAAAAGAAAAAAAAATTATAACTGAGATGTTAGGTTTATAAGTTCCCAAAATTCATTCACTGATGTCCCCAAGGTTGAGTAATTCAAAAAGTGACTTGATCCAAAGAGTTGTGAGATCAGTACCTGGACACAGCAGTGGTAAACAAAAAACTTGGAGAGTTTGAGTTACTAAAGGGAATTAACTGAAACTAGAATTAGTATGGAGGTATGGTGGCGTAATGGATAGTGGCTCAGATTGAGGAATCAGAGAACCGAGTTTGAATTCTATTCAGATCCATTACATTCACTTACGTGCTAATACTCTTGGAAAAGGTATGAATCTTCTTCTTCCCCAACCCTAGTATATTTACTGGGGTTGGCAAGAAGACAAGACTGGGTTCTATAGCCTTGGGTGGCAACCAGTCTAGGAGAAGGAAAAACTCTGAATTCAAAACCGTCCTGGGGAGGGTTGGGCTCTGTCAGGCTATCTTGCCCAAGAAACACTAATTCTACCTCGGCTGCAAAACACATGGTGCCCCTAAGACCCTGAGGGTCATGGGATAAAAAAAATCAGAACAATGTGCGACTGTGGACTAAATAAAGGGTTTGGTTCAAAATTCCAACAGATTTATGTTTTTGTTTTAATCTCCCATAATAATTTTAATCTCTTGGCATTTGTATACATCCTGTATATAATACATTAAAAATTTCCTTTTCTCTGCCGTGTGCCAATAGCTTAGGTGTAGAATCTCTGACTGCTGCCAAATCGGTTGAGTTTTGATCCCGGCTTGAAGGAATTGGACATCTAACAAGACTGATGATCTGTGATACAGTGAAACAAGCTTGTATATGGATGATTTTATTTTATATATATATATATATATATATATATATATATATATATATATACACACACACACACACACACACACATATATATATATATATATATATATATATATATATATATATATATATATATATATATATATACATACACTATATATATACACACACACACACACACATACATTCACATATATATATATATATATATATACTTATACATATACACATACACACGCATATAGACATGCACACACACATATATATATATATATATATATATATATATATATATATATATATATATAGCACATATAGTGCTTGATGTAGTATAACAGAGCTATTAAGTATATATTAATAAATATGCATATTATCCCTCACCACTAACATGACTCAGATTGCACGACGCAATATTCAGGTGCTGAGTATAAACTGACCGTTATGGAATTTGAATTATAATATATCTAGTTATTACTATGTTGGTGTAGTTATGTGTTATGCTGCGATTACAGTTTTTTTAATTTCAAATTTTCAAATTTTATTTGGCATTTAAATTAAGCGAGATTTATATATGTATGTAAAAAAAAAAAAAATTAAAATGTAAAAGATTATATATATGAGTGGGGAATATTTATATTTTAAATTTTAAATTTAAAAAAAATTATATAATTAAAGGGAGATTACTTGTTCTTAGTAAAAACATGAATATTTAACTAGAAGTAATTAAAAATAGAATAATCAGCATTAAAAATAATATACAAGGTAAAGATAAAAAATAAATAAATAAAAATTAAAAATAAATAAAATTAAAATTAAAAATGAAAAAAATAACCTGGATCAACATATTTAAGGAGATATTCAGTTGGACTTGATGACTGCCTCGGTGACTTGGGAGGAACATATTTGTGTTTCTCTATCTGGTGAATTTAGTTAATCAGAAAGGATTTAATAAAGGCCAGTAAATTGTTGCCAGAATTCTAGATTGCATGGTTTACATTTGCAACAATTCAAGTTTTTTTTTTTTGACAAATGCAGTGAAAGTTTGAACTAAGAGAAATTACACTATTTACATTATTCGGATTATTGTCCTCATCTTTGTCACCATATTTATTACAACGTTTCGGCTGTTGTATGCTCTCACCATCCATACAGCATAAAGAAAGGGATTGTCCGCGGCTTACAACACCGAGCAAAAGTCATAAGTGGTGACCCAGAGACATTAGATAAAAAATTGGCCAGTATAAGTAGTACCCTACAATGTAACAACTACCCTGGGTACATGACAGCAGCCCCAAAAAACTGGGATGGGCGGGTACAAGAGGAGGACAACAACACTCAGAAAACAGTCTGCCTGCCTTATATGAAGGGGTTATCAGAGAAAATACATATGATCTGCTTTCTATATAACATCAGGACAACCTTCAAAAGCTGGACATCACTTCGCAGATATCTCTCCCGAGTAAGACCCCCCCATAGGGGAGAACATGACTAAAGACTGAGTGTATGTCATCCTGTGCAGCTGCAGAAAGAAATATAAATGGGAGACAGGCCACCCCTTTAAGGTAAGGCTTCAAGAACACCAGAAAGCTGTAACATGAGGGGAAGTGGAAAAATCAGGTGTGGCTGACCATATAGAAGGATGTAAATCAGCAGAGGAAAAGAATTTAGCACATGCAGCACTGAAAAGGAATTTGAGGAAAGGTATTACCAGGAGTTTGGATGACAGCACTACAAACTGGAAATGCAAGACATGTGGTTGTATCCTACTGTCAAAAGCTGAAATCACAGATGACCTCACTGTGTTACCACCACAACCTGGTGATACCACATGTGTGATCTGCAGGGAAGTATATGAATCGACATCTGGGTTGAAGAGGCATATGGTGGTGCACAAAGATGACCTACACTATTTACATTATTCAGACTATTGTCCTCATCTTTACCGCCATATTTATTATTACAACGTTTCGACTGTTGTATGCTCCGGCCTTCTTCAGGTGGTTGGAATGTCGAACTGAACCCTTTAATTTGCTCACTGGGGTAGACTGTTCTAGTTCCATGTTCAATGGATGTCTTCATGGACACATGGCACAGTGGATAAAGCCGTTAGTTAGATCCAGTGACAGTACACAAAGAGTGTGAGTTCAATACCCAGTTAAGGCTGTGGAGAACTTGGATAGGGGAATTAACAGGAGATAACTGATAACTGACATCCATTAAATGTGGAACTAGAACAGTCTACCCTAGTGAACGAAATAAAGGGTTCAGTTCGACATTCCAATCACCTGTAGAATGGCTGAAACATTGTAATAAATATGGCAACAAAGATGAGGACAATAGTCCGAGTAATGTAAATAATGTACGTAATACCTCATCTCAGAAATATAGAGAGATACTGAAAGGCCGAAATGTTGTAATAAATATGGTGACAAAGATGAGGACAATAGTCCGAATAATGTAAATAGTGTACGTAATACCTCATCTCAGAAATATAGACAGATACTGAAAAGCCGAAATGTTGTAATAAATATGGCGACAAAAATGAGGACAATAGTCTGAATAATGTAAATAGTGTCCATAATACCTCATCTCAGAAATATAGACAGATACTAAGAGAAATTATCCTAAAGAATCTACATGGGTTTTTGAAGGTCTGAGAAGTCTTGTGTCAAACTTGGAAAAATTTTCTCAGAATCAATTTTAATCAATTATCTAATATCATTTTAAAATATCTGTGACATTTAAACACTGCTTTTCTGTTTATATGTGGACAATTGTCCTCGTCTTAGTTGTTATTATTGTAACATTTCGGCCTTTGTGCTTTCTGATCATCATCAGGTGTTTTATTTTATCTACAGGAGTAGATTGTTCTCATTTTTTTTCAAATTTCCTAAAGGTTACCTTGATCAACAACAAGCCCCTGATGATGGCTGGAGGGCACAATGCCGGTAATATTGTGATAACAACAAAAAAGATGAGGACAATAGTCCATGTGTAAATAATGATAACTCCTCATTCCAGAAATTCAGTCAAAAACTGCTTTTCTATCATGAACATCATCTTCAAATGTTTCTTGTGTCATTCACCTTTTGTCTTGAAATAAAACTATCATCTTTGTTTCCAGAGCTACCAAATCAAACACAAAACCTTTACAAATATGGAATTAAAATTATTTCTAAGTTATTTTATTGCAGGCTTTTCTCACTTCCATATGAGACATTTTGAGATCACAAAAATTGATGGCTGAAAAGCTGTTTGCTCTGAATTTGCGTTCTGAAAAATATCAGTATCACAGATTTTTCAAGTATACAGGAAATATTACAAAAGTTAAAGAATGACTAGATGTTTTTCTTCTAAATTGCTGAGTCATCTGCACCCAAACTCCAAATATGGCTTCCAGTTCTGTTCCACACTAATGTTGCTCTTAGCAACATATGCACAGATGATACATGCTTCTATTTTTTTTTTTTTTTTCAGGTGATTGGTGCAAAGCGTAGTAAAGTAATGGAATCTTTGCAAATGTTGCCACTTGTTAAATGCCAGGAATTGGCTGGTTATTATCTTGGTTTTAATGGATGGTCTACAAGAATAAAATTGGTAAGACTTTCAATTTTTTTTTTGTTTTCAGGTAAAGACCTGGTTTGAATATTTCAATGTGCAGATTTCAACTTTTGTCTATGACTGGCAATGTCAGATGTATTATACACAATAGTAATGACATTAGTCGTATACATTATGGCATTGACAACTCCTGGCTATATAAGAAATCTCCCATGGTTGAACAATGTTTGGAGACAGAATTCAGTAGAAATGTCTTATTATTTTTTATATGGTACAAAGAGCCATTTATTTACATTTTAAGTAAATTTCTTGTGAAAATATGCGTCCTATATGACGGGAAATAGAAATTTTAAATTCTGGAAGAATTATAATACTGCTTGTTTTGCTGCTAGCAGGTGTATTATGCCTTGCCATTGCCTCAGATAAATAATAGACCATTCTGTTTTGATTGTGAGGAAAGATGGAAAATATATCCAGAGATGCCACTTGGTTTTAAGGAATGGAAGGGAAATAAAGAAAGGTAATATAGAAGAAGTGATAATGCTTTCATACATATAACATCTGCTTCAGTGAAATGGAAAACGTTTTCATTTGTACCCTCTTCTTAAAATAATGACTTGCATTCACATTTGTTGCATCATTTGCAAAGTGAAGCTCAAATATTTAATTATACATTAGAGGAATTTTCACAAGTACAGTGGAACCCCAGTTCACAAATTTAATTTGTTCCTGAAGCCTGTGTATAATCTGAAACTATTTTTCCAATAGGAATCAATGTAAAATGGATTAATCCATTCCTGGTCTGAATATGATTGCTTATTTAAACTTTAACAACAGTAATTTGTGCACAAGTTTCTATACAAAACTAATGAAAATCATTAAATTTAAGAAATAAGTAAATAAACCCAATAGTAAACAGATAAAATATAGATGAACACTTCAATTTTACTGTACCTTTAAGTAGGAGAGTTGATGGCATAAGGGGAAGGAAAGAGATGTTATTGTTTGGGAAAGGGAGAGGAAAGACATGATCATTTCTTTATTAATAAGAATAGTATAGATCGTTGATTTTGCCATATGAAACTGAATAGGAAGAAACAATATCATCAACAATTGTTTTTCTCTTAACTTCTTTTTTTTCCATTACTAATATCACTGCTAGCTTTCTTTAGAGCCATGACTGGGGAGTTATGAAGGGGAAAAAATGCACATTACAATAAAATTGGAAAAGAAAAACACATTGCAACACATGAATATATACAATATGGCAGTCGACTAAGGAATTCTGTTCAGGTTAACTTGGTTTGGCTCTGTTTGGCAATGTTGTTCATGAACTGAAATTTTGTTTGATAACTGAGGTATTTTCATCTTGAATATTCTGTTTGAAAACCAAATTGTTTGATATGTGAGACATTCGAGAAGCGAGGTTGCACTGTATTTTATTTGCTGTGAAATTTACAGGGTTCAGTCGTTAAATTAAGAATCGTGATTCATCAGAAATTTAAATTAAGAAAAACCATGAAATTTTCATTGACACTGCTAGTAATATTTATTTTCCCATGTGAAATCCCCTTCCCTTAAAAAATATAAAGGGTTCATAGTGTGAAAATCATGGCTAAAAAAAATCCCAAAGTTTTCAAAATTTAATATTTGTGACTTATAGTAGTTTTGATGGAGTTAGAATCTAACTCTAGTTTTTGTTATAATTATCAAAACTTGATGATGAACCTGGTTCTGAGTTTCTAAACCTTTGTCAAAGATTAAATTCTTAAAACATGCAACCTGACAAATGACCTAAACTCATTTGAATTGCTGCTCACTTAGGCTTGAACCGATTGTTGTTGACAACTTTTAGCGAGCTCAGAAATATTAACTGAAATGGAAACCTTAAATAATTTTTCCAAGTTGACACTGATGACATAATGAAAACTTTTGACCAAAGAAACAAACTGCACTATGCCTTGAAGCAGAAAGAGGGAATCACCATAGCCCCTTATTTAATTTACTTCCTCAACACAATGCAATACACTCTGTTGGAATCATAGAAAAGAGCATCACAAACAAAAATGACAGGAAAAAATGGTTTTCTGTTCATTTTCAGTTGTGACGTTCTTTTCCGCAATAAGTCCAGTGTCTTGCTTTGAATGAGAAGAGGCAGTTACTGTAATAGAGGGAAGATAAAACAAAAGTGTCAAGATGTTAAGGTTTTGTTTTTATTCTGAATTATATCATAAGACAAATTGTTATGAAACCAAAAAGTTGAGTAGGGGAAGCATTTTAAAAAAATGTTTTTGGATTTTATTCTTTATTTAGTTGATGTCTCTCAACTGATTCTGTCATGTCACTGTTGTCTCAATTTCATTTCCTTAAAGCAGATTTTGCTTAGAGACTTTTTTGTTAGCAATCATCATTATTTATTTTGTACATTTGTTTTTTGGTTTGGAAAAGCATACAAGTGGAATTTGCATTTTCTCATAAACATATGCAACATTTTATGAAAAATTGAGTAACAATACATGGAAAACCTTTTGAAAACAATTAAGTTTTACAAGAAAAAAATGATTAAGACAAATGAACCTTACAAACACAAAAGTTACAATTATCCAACCACAGATTTACACCACAGAATGTCTTTACATATTAAGAACTTATGTTTTGTCTTACCAAAGAAAGATTTAGAAAGGAACACCTCTTGCAGATTGCAACTGATTGCACCTTTAGATGAAAGTCTAGCAACTGAATCTAACTCTGTCTTTTTTACACTTTTTCTGCAGTTCATCCCTGGCTAGTTGCACTCTGGATTAATATTATTGGGACCCTCGAAGTTAGGCATGAAACTTCTCATGTCATCTGCTGTTTTCACTTTGCCATCATTGGCTGTAAGACTCAATAAGTAGAAAGCCAAAAAATCTACGACAAATGAGGTTTTATGGTGGAGTACAATTTGAATTAATGCATTTGAGACTGAGTTTATTTCATCTTGTGCCAGACTAGATTAAGTTTAGTCAATTTAACAAACTTATTCTCATTGCCATGGTTCAGCTGTGAGAGAAAAAAAGAAATATTTTGCGACATCAAAAACAACCACCAGACTAATTCTTAATTTAATGGTAAAATAATATAAAAAGATCGAAAGCAAATAAACAAAGTTTTTGGTTAATATTTTTTTTTCAGTTTTGATTAAACAGTCAATAAATCAGAAAATTTTTGGGTCAAGGCATTATGAGTGTGTAAGCGATCTGGGATTGTAAAGGAAATGTTTGTTGCAGATTATTTCCACGTCACAGAGAATAAATCACTAAGTTCAGACTCGAACATCGGGGACAGAAAGAATATGCCGAAAACTTGATTCGCAAGTACTATTTCACAAATCACAATGCATGCAACCAGTCAGAAAAATAACTCCCTCACCAACCAATGTGGCGGCCAAAATTGCCGACTTTTTCCCACCAATTCGAGAACACCAACTGCTTTTATCGGCCGAAGATTTTTTTTTTTCCATTCATCGACAGCTGGGAGAGTATGTTCAGTAATTTGCATATCAACATACTTTTATAGCGACTCCGGCGACGGACTTGTTTTTTAATTCAAATATTCCATTTTCAGCATTTCATGCAGAATACGTGCCGTTTTGTTTGGTAAGTAATTTTCTTTTTCGACACATTTTCTGTCGTAGAATACACGTGACATGCTGTCACTTGGTTTGACAAGGTAAGTCACTGTTTTCTTCGCTATAGATTGGCAAAAACTTATATTGCTTGCACATTTCAGAGTCAAAATGTCTTCCTATTGTTTCTCTAATAAATGATTTTTTTTTTTACCATTTCAATACAAATTTCAGTTGAAAGAAAATATTGCTGAGGATACAGAAGTTTCCATTTTGAGTTCTTCCAAAAAACTGACCTTCTGTTGTTTGTCTGAAGTGGTACTTGAACATCATGGAATTGTTTCTGAAGGATTTGGTGCTTGGGAAGAGAGTTACACTTCAAATGGTAAGTGTGTTGTAATCATCTGGTTGTTTATTTTCAGTCATCAGTCGAAGAGGTTACTGATTCAGAGCTAGATATAAAAGGCTATCAAAAATGAACCTATCTGGCACAACACTTCAAAAAACATTTGAGAATATATTGACCTTAATAAATTGCATTTAATTAGATCCATAAGCAAAGTTCTTTCCGAAAAACTAAAGTTAATATTAATTATTTGCGAAATATATAAAAGTTGCTGATAAAGTATGTTTCATTATGCTGGAAGGTTGGTTGGTTGAAATGTATATATAAAGTTGGTCGTTGTTATATTTTCTGAATGGTTGATATTTGAGGTCTGATAAAAAAAGTATCGGGATTGTTGATATGGTAATGGAGCTAAATTATGCTGAGGGAAGCCACTTGGCATCGATTTTGACCTTGACCTCTGTCACATGTGCACAGTAAGTTATAACATTTTTTGCTCACTTCTGTTGTTAATAGCATTGCTTGGAAGGAGAGTGTGTAGAGTGTGGTGATCTCACCACATCAAGGAAGTTCCATTGGTGACTTTGGAAGAGAAAATTGAACAGAAAATCTGCATCAAATTTTGCCAAAAGTTTGGTGATACTTGTGCAGTGACCTATGTAAAGTTGTAGAAAGTATATGTAGAGGAGTGTATGAGCCAGACATAAGTGTACACGTGGTTCAAACATTTTCAAGATAGCCAACAAAATGTCAATAGTGATGCACATTCTGGGAGACCACAACCAGCAGAACTGATGAATCATTATGCGTGAGTTATTGGAGGATTTGAACACATTCGTTATGGTTCAATTCAGTGCATTCTCACTGTAAATGTGTGTATGAGACATGTGTCTGTCAAGTTTGTGCCAAAGCTACTTTCAGTTGACCAAAAAGAAAATCAGGTTTCAGCTGTGCAGAATCTCCTTGATTGGGTTAAGAAAGACAAAAACTTTTTGGAAATGGTCATAACACGTGATGAATTGTGGTTCTCTGGCTATGATTCCAAAACCAAGGCTCAGTCTTCACAGTGGAAGACTAAAGAAAGCACAAATGGGTTGAAGGAATATGAAGACATATTGACAGTTTTCTTTGACTCTAAGAACATTGTTTATCAAATATATCAAACAAGGAATTCTACCATGGCATTTGTGGGATGCTGTTCATCAGAAAAGGACAGAATTGCATGCATCCGGTAAGTGGCAACTTCACCATGACAATGCACCTGCCCATTCAGTGAAGTAGTTTTTGGCCAAGCACAACATTCCCCAGTGTGATAACCACTATATTCCCCAGATCTTGGCCCTTGCAACTTTTCTCTCTTTCCAAAAATCAAATCCAATTTAAAAGGAATTAGATTTCAAAACATCAAGGAAATCCAAGAGAATGCAACGAGGCAACTTCTCGTTATCTCAAAAAAGAAATTCAATGGAAACAACGCTGGATAATATGTGACTTCAGAAGGAGGCTACTTCAAAGGAGATTAACTACTGAATTGATATGTGCTGTAGTTTTCTTTTTGTGTGATACTGATAAAAGGAAAGAGTTAATTTAGAATATGAACTGGAACAGATGAAAACAGTTAAAGGAACAGAATAGCATAAGCTGAAGAAATGAAGCCTGAAAATAATAACTTTATTGATTTTGATATTATCAAAGGGCCATGTGGAAGATTTCAGATCATGAGGAAGAAGGAATAGTGATAATACATTCAAAGTTGAGAATTTGGAAATGAAGCACAAATGGAGAAATTGATTTATGTACGTTTACTTAAAGTGGAAGTTACGAAAACATGTCTCGTGATGGCCAGGCAGAAGACGGGGTCAAATGAATTATAATATTTGGTAATTTTGAAGACGAGGGCAGAACTGAGGAACTGATTTATGTCTGTCTGTCAAAGTGTGTAAATGTAAACAAATTAAGAAATAGGATTTTTTGAGATAAGAAACCAACCTGTAAGATTCATAAGTATGATTAAGTGAACAAGATATAAAGACAAGTACTTGCTATTAGCAAATCAAAGGAAACAGCTAGTAAATCTCTGATTGCATAAACAAGACCAGGGGCTGAGAAAACCTGTTGTTGAAAATTAAGATAATTACAATTAATAACTAAAAGTTAGGACCGTCTTTTTGCCTATGCAGCTTAAAAATCAGATTTGTCAAAGAGACAGCCAAGGTGGTGGGCTTAGATGAGATAACAAGGGCAATAGAGAAATTACTTCTGTCCATTTGGAAGTAATGGTGCAAGGCATAAATTAGAAAAGGAATGAGTTATATGGGCAGGCCACTACCTGCAACCACTACATAGGAAGAAATGATCTCCCAAATTTGGAGAGATAATTAATATTATGAACCAGACAACTAAGAATTCTTGTTCAAATCAATACATAAACCTGGGGACTCCCCCACCCAAACACCTTCAGCCCCCACTCCAATCTTAAGTTGAAGACAATATAAGTGGAGTGCTTAAGCAACCCAGAGGAGCAGAGAGAGAAAGAGAGATGAGAGACACTAGTGAAGTCCAGATAAAGTAGCTATTGAGTTCTGTGTGACTTGCTGCCAAAAAAATCCCCAACTTTGAGCTTTGTTCCAAAAAATAGCACTGATAGGCAAAGTGTCACTAAAGAGATTTTAGTGGGAAGGGTTAATTTTTGTTATAAAAATTACTACATAAATGAAATCAAAAATTAACTGAAGTTTTTTGTTTTTATTTCATCTGCGAAGACATTTCTATTTTTTCCCATCATAACATGGCTTCACTGTTGTTCGAACCAGCACTATGATTACTGACAATACTTGATCCCTACCAGCTCTGTGATCAAGAAACACAACATGAGCTGAACAAGGTGTGGACAGTGACCAACAACTGTTGACTAGCAACAGTTTTGATCAGCATGGGATTGACCCTGCAATCAACTCATTGTCCTATGACCCTGAGGAGCAAGATATTTTCTGATATAGACAGCATGTGGCAAGGGTCACTGCTGACCAGATTGACCTAAGATTGACAAAGGCACCACATGTTATACTGTAGCAGTAATCCCAATGCATTTTGATCGGACTACATATATCTTTGTGGATGTTAAAAGTTAATCTAAGAAGTCTACATACATTTGTTTCATTTTAATATCAAAAATACTATATCGGATTAAAAACCTAAGCAGGCCTAAAAGGTTAGAATTGATAATATAGAGACTCAGAACGTAAAGATGAGAAAAGAGCAGAGCATTTCTGAATTGATCTAAAAGAAGTTCCATAAAGAAAACCTTTTTGTGTAGAAGTTAATATATATATATATATATTATGCCTCTTGATTCCTTGGGGAACATTGGGCCACAACAACACCTCTCCAATGGATGTGGTTCCAGCCAATCCTCTTCAGCTTGGTACATGTTGTGCTTGCTGCCGTCACCTCTGTGTCAACACTTCTGCACCAAGTCTATTTTGGTCAACCCACTCTTCACTTCCATTGTGGATTCCAGTCAAGGGCCTGCCTGGTGAAACTAGAAGCAGGCTTGTGGAGTGTGTGGCCGATCCATCCCCATTTCTATTTCTTGATGGCAATCTCAATTGAGGCTTGTTTGGTCCTGTCCCACAGTTGGTTGTTGGCCGCCTGATATTAAGGATGTTCCTAAGACATCAGTTTGTAAATGTCTGAAGTTTGTGGGTGTTGGTCTTGATTTTTCACAATTTCATATCTGGAAAGATAAAAGAAACAACTAGATTCATTTCCTAACGCTTTGCCTAATTCTGCTTAAAGTTAAACAAGGTTTTTTTTTTTTTTTATCTGTGCCTTTCTTTTAAATGGTTTAAATTCTGCTCTTTCTAAAAGTCTTTCAATAAAATACTATCTATGCTTGATGTAGGCACATTGACAAAATTGAAATTTTCTTTTTTGTACACTGGGGTGGATACAAGGGCCAATTAATTGTGGCTAGAACAACCTGGATGATGTAAGTCCTAGTAAATCAGTATTTTATAATAATAATAATCATCACAGAAATTCAGAACCTTCTCCCCAATTTTTTTCGTTACTGAGGAATTATTTTTATTGGATGAATGAACTTTGGTGATTAGATATGTTGATTACATGATGAAAAAAGCTCTCTCTCTTTTTCTTTTTGAACAAAACTTTTTCTGAAAAGCAACTTGTATTGAATCTCAACAATCAATGAATGATTGAATTTTTGCCTGAATTTCTTGTCAATGATTCCTTTTTTTCTATTGTTGCTTTTTTTTTATCTCAATTATTTCAATCCGTCTATTCTCCATCTGTCTTCAAGTGTTTCTCATCCTCATTAAACTTTAGATAATATTCAAGAGACTCATTCATGATGACTATGGCTTCTTTTTATCTTTGTAGATTCTTTATCCAAAATTGTGGCTTTTCATAAAGCAAAAAAAATCTCGTACCAAAGATCTCTTCAAGATGCTTTTTCAAAAATTATTTTGGTTGTCTTACCAAATGGCAAAGTGGCTGCTGAACGGAATTCGAGTAAAGTCGATATATTTTGGCAAGAAGCGTCACTTTCTCCTGTTTTAAAGGTAAACTGATTTAGCTGTTCTATTCTGTTTGAGAAAGGAAATAATTATATTTCGACATCAATTCTTCAACTGATGTTTAACTGGATTTACAATAATTGTGATTAACTTTTCAGTATTACTTTGATATTGATGATGACATTTCCCTGAGCAAGGATAGTTGCAAAGTGCTATCCACCCTTAAGCATTATCTGGCAAGGTTACTTGGAATTACTAACAATGGAAGTAAACCTGGCCATATTATTCTTAATTTGGAACTGATATTTTTAGAAAACTTAAGGATTCATAAAAATGTATTTTTCTCTTCAAAATTTGGTTCCTTTTTTTTTTTCCACTTGTATTATTTTTAGAAAAGAGACCATTTTTTTTGTATTGCCTTTAATACATCACTGTTTATTTGTGTTGTTATATAAATAATTCTGTCCTGAGTTTTCATGAAGCATAGATTAGGTCCAACTTCAGAAACTATTTTTAAATATTAGTTAAATTTTTCTTTTTGTTTTCAGGTCAACCATTTAGACTCTCAGCCAGAAAATGAAGACATTGATTCTGATTTTGCAGATACTAGTGAAGATCTTGATAACATTAATATTCAACTTCTTCAAGAACTTGAGGAATCTTAAGACATGTTTTTCTGAAGAGTTCCTGTACCAATGCAAAAAGTTTCCATATTTTCACAAGTTATGTGTTCTGTTGACATAAATGCCAAGGGAAATTCTTTTTCTATATATTCAAATTATGTAGATCTTAAAACAACTTTAGAAATAAAAATTAATTTCTGCCTGATTTTGCAGGGTCATCATCCATGATAAGGCACATTAAAAAAAAATCTATTTCTCGGATTTTCTGAATATGATCTTAAATGATATCCTATTTTGTAAAATTTTGTTTTCATTTATATTTATTGAATCAAATCTCTGTGAAAATATGAATAGAATAAAATTTTTTGAGGCGACAATTGTCGCTGTAGAATTCTCTCCCTTTGTTACTCTAGGCGCATTCTGTCGCCTTGAGACGGTTGCTATTATTATGGGCTTGTCTATTAGCCCAATCTTACCTTCTTCGAGTAATGGAACTATTCCAACTTTCATTCGTAAATCTAGCCCTCTGATTGGTTCATTTCTACCAATCAGGTTGGCCACATGTGTACTTTGAAGTTTTGGCACAAAATCGTTCCGGATCCACCCACGCGATTATGACCTCTTAAAAAGAAGCCAAAGCACGTGTGACCACGCAGACGCAGACCTGGGCAGATCAGCAACAGACCATTTTTCGACCGCTTACTCAAGTTTAAAAATGTGATGACTACAATTCATCGTCTCGCTAATCGAGTTGACAAATCTTTCCTGTTCAATATCTTCTACAAACTTCTTCGTCATTCAAGAATCTCAAACCATACATTCTCTTTTTGCCTCACCACTTCGCAGATGTGAACACTCACAGATACAGCGTTTCCCAAATGCTGAGAACACGCTAAGAACAATACACATACGTACGAACACTCACCACAACACAACAGCACACACGCATATTTACCACACACACTCTGTCCATGTAACTGTCCATGTAACTTGTAACCTTTCTTGTTATTAATACATATATTTGTTTATATATATTTATCGGTCTTGTGTTTGTTTTTCTTTGCCTTCTTTGGACTTAATTAAAGTCCAACTTTCTCATGTAGTTGGATTGGCTAGCAGGAAAATCTTAACCCATGTGTATTCATTTACTTATACTCAACAACATCACCGACACGGTCCTCTACACTATAAATAAACACTTGTCAACTGTTATTTCCATTATTTTAAGATGGAAATTTTCTACTATTGATTTGGAAGAAGGTTAAACTTCCATTTTTCAACACCATTTTGAATTTTTCAAGACTACACGAAGTGTAACATTGATTAAACCCACATTGATTTTTTTGTAAACAAAAATAATGGCTGCATCAATATCCAACAAAGCCTTTATTCAGGAGTTTTTCTTTGATTAGACTCCTATGATGATTTTGAAGGCTTTACTCGAGTGGATATTGATGGTGAAGTGGTCAGAGATGACAACCATGTTAGTGACCTGGAGGAAAGCGATGATGACCACTAATGGCTACTATCATCCGTGCCTGAGTAATTTTAGGGAATCTACTAATGACCATCGATATATAGCATATCTGAAGGTGATTTATTTTGTCTATAAACAATGAAATAATAACTTTTTGTCAACAAATAAATATAAATCAGGTGAAAGAAAGAACAAACAAATACTTTTTGCATTAAGGAAACATAAGGAAACACATCACATTTTTAAGGAAATGAAAGCCTTGTTAGAACGATTTTGCTTCTTATTCCCCAGAACTCCACAAGAAGGAATAAATTTTTTAATAGAAACTGAGCGCAGATCCTAAATTGCAAATAAAAGTTAAAGTACATTGAATTATTTATGTATTTTTTAATGTATTTGTGTTTTATTTTGTATTTCAATTTATTTTTGTTTCAATGTCAAAACATGCATGCAAAATGTAAAGCATTACATAATGCATTGCATCAAAATATTATTCAGTCATTCTTTTATCATTGTACAAAAATTAAAATCTATACGCACAATACAAAGAAAGTTATAACAATTTTTTTTAAAACAGTAGGTATTCATGTTTTTTTGCACCTTCAAAAGAAAAAAAAATGTCTCGCAGGGGAGACAACTCTAGAAAGAAATTAGCGTCGTAAAGGTTCCATCAGCCAAGTATCATATCTTCAAATTCTTGATTCTCCAACATACAACAAAAGTTCATTTGGTTTATTAAGTAAAAAAGCATTTATTTTCAACATTAACTGAATGTTTGATAATTTTTTATTTATTTTATTTTTTTTTTTTGAAAGGATGCTTCATCAGTAGAATTTTCTATTTCTTTGAAATTATTAACTCTGGACATTTTTTTTTTGTTGCTTCTCAAAGTCAATTTCTTTAATGTCTTCTTAGTTTTTTTTTCTCCACCAACAATTAATCAAGGGATTCTAATAAAAATAATTCCAAAGATGAAAGAGCTTCCGATACTTAAGAAATCAATAACACTATTATTCAAAAGTGCACATTTGATTGTTGATTCGTCTAGTTCTGTCTTTATCCTGCCTCCCAAAACATGACATTGGGGTGGTAGCACCAGCTATGGGAAAATAGTTAACCCCCAACTGGGATCAAAGCATTATGAAAGTATAAAAATAGATTTTTATAGTAAAAATACCAGCAATACATTTTTGGAAAAAAACAAATCTTACCAGCAATACATTTGACTCTACAAAAACCCTCTTTACAAAAATATTTTAATGAAACCTGATCTACAAACTGATTTCTTACAAAGAATACATATTCTATTCAAAAGAACGTATTGTAAAAATCTTGTTGGCATTAAATAACCTATTGAGCTGTTGATATGCTGTAAAACAAACAAAAACAAAACACACACACACACACACAATCATTATTGATTTTGTTCCAGGACAGCTCCAGTTGTGTATCAACCATATATACTCTATGCTCTTTCTCTCTTGTATTTTGCAATTAACAAATACATGAAAAGGCACAGAGGTCAAATATCCATTCTTCAAAGGTTAAAGAGAGATTTATGACTAATTGTTTCCAAATTTGGACGTTTTTGGATTTTTAAAAAATTTGGAACAGTCTTTTGAAAAAAAAAAACAAATAAAAAAACTTCAGTCCTATAATCTAAAACTGGTATAAAGACAAAGAATGTTTTATTCAAATCAATTTGGATTTTAGCATCTGTCCTAAGCCATAATGACATTGACAAGTTCAACAAAAAAAAACCTGGCAAATTTGTTTTTTTTTTTTCTCACCTATTTTGAAACATTGAAAAAGAGAGGCAAAGAATATTTTTTTTTTATATTAAGAGGTGGAATGAAGCCAATAAAAAATATGACTGAACAAATAACTTGGAAGGTTGATTTCTGCAGAGGGTCACCCAAGTGTGTCATTGTATGCCTGCTAAATTGTGAAGGGAGAAAAAAAAAAAGAAAAAAAAACTAAAGACCTGCTACCCTCAAGGGGGTCACTAAACCAAGTCCCAATGACCTTGATAATTGCTTTAGAGGGATTATACAGACGGATACCCTTCTCCAGTTGTGAAGTGCCATCCCATCAAGTTCGTCCAGCCACACTTTGATAGGAAAAGGCTTGCATAGAAATTCCATTCATCCATTTTGATCCTTTTTTTGAGATCAATGGTTAGCAAAAGGGTATGTAGGAAAAAGAAACTAATGATTGGTGTTATTTTCTGATATTTATTCTGATTGGTAAAAAAATGATTTTTCTTTCACACTGTTCTATTTCATCAAGGTGGTAACTAGAATAGATGAGAAAGTTGGAGAGAGAACTATCATTTCTTACAAACATGATCAAAAGTCATCTTTAATCAAAACTAAACACTAAGCAAATTGAATGAGATGAAATGGAACATTTTCTTTTTAGCTGCTCAAACACAAACAACAAATGTAAAATGGAACTTTTTCTTTCTGGCTGCTCAAATATACACAAACGTAAAATGGAACTTTTTCTTTTTAGCTGCTCAAATATTACAAACATAAAATGAAACTTTTTCTTTTTAGCTGCTCAAATATTACAAATATAAAATGGAACTTTTTCTTTTTAGCTACTCAAATATTACACACAAACATGAAATGGGACTTTTCTTTTTAGCTACTTAAATATTACACACAAACATGAAATGGAACTTTTTCTTTTTAGCAACTTAAATATTACACACAAACATGAAATGTATTACTATTTTTAGTAACCAATAATTACATCGGATTTAATAAAAATGAATGGAATTGGGAGCATGGGCTGCTTCAAAATCATTTATAGTTTACTTTTTTGCAGACTTTCTGTAGTTTACATCAAATTCTTGTAGTCAGCAAATTTTTTAATCAAAACTGAGAAAGTCTGCAGAAACAAGAAAAAATCAATCTTTAATCATAGTCATTTTTCCTGCCTTCTACCTAAAATATTTAGTTGTGTGTAGGAAAAGATAAAATCTAAAAAGGGAAATGTAGAGTAATGGTAAAGTCAGTGGGTAGTAATAATGAAAGCTAAAATTCTGCCTACATATTCTTAGTTCAAATGAAGTTAGTATGTGGTGGTAGAAGCTAAGTAATAATCACTCTTATATTTTAGTGCTAAGTACCATAAATTGCTGGGTCATTCTTAACTGGAGTGAAGAAGAAAGAAAAAAAAGAAAAGAAAGTGGAGTAATGGTAAAGTCAGTGGGTAGTGACAAAATCTGAAATATTGTTTAGTCCTTCTCCCAATCCACATACATAGACCAAAGAGCACCTCAAGTTGCTGGGTTCATTTTCCATAACCAGTGGATTAAATGAAAAGTTTGATGATTTTAATAAAGCCTACCTATGATATCACAGGTTCCCTCAAAAGCAAGTTATATCAAAGTCTTTATGACATGTTCAGTGGCTGAATTAGTTGTGCCAATGCTCATAACAAGATAAAAAACATATTACAAATACAGATTTTCATGCCAAATAGGCCCTTTCTATATTGGTGCAACACAATCTTCCCATTTTCTATTAAGCCATATATTGGATGAATCTAAATTTCT